CCAAATGTTTGCTAGTTTTGAGTTTGACAATCCTAACTTTTAGCTAGGAGGTAGTTGAAATATTTTTGCTATTTTGTAAGCATTTTGACGTTTTTTTCATTTTATATTCCTGATGAGGGATGTATCTGGTGATAATGATATTGTTTTCCTTCGTTTCATAATCGTTCGTTTTTCGTTGTTTGATCCAGATCATAAGAGTTAATGATCACATAAGCAACGAATTGTGAAAATTTTATTTATACTCTGCTAAAAGTAGCGAAATGGTATAAAATCGGTCATTCTATCGTACAGTGATAAGTCTGTTGGCGTTTAGACGCATATCTCACAGGCCTTCATTTAAGACTGACGATTATCTTATGTTTATGTTTCATGTTTGCTGCAATCGAGCTGTCAGGTGTACCGTCGAAACGTCGGCTGCCGATTGTTACTTGAAAACTTGACTTTTATGTTGTTTGAAACAACAAATATCTGAGTCAGTTTGAAAGTCACACTAAGCTGCGCACTGTTTCGCTTATTGAGGGACTTATAGACCTGATAGACTTCGGTTCATAAACCGCTGAAACACGACTTCGATAAAGAGCTTGCAAGAAGTTGGATTCTCGTCAGCCCTGTCAGCGGGTGACAAAAGTCCATGCACGCAGATTCGACAGAATCCAATCTTTTATTGCGTCCTATAAAGAAGGCTGACTGCATTTACCGAAAATAAAGTCAGTCATTAAATTTTCTAGGCGGTATGGATCCTGAGAGGATTGCCTAAACCTGATATTATTAGAAAATTCTGTTTTCTCTACTTTTACCACTTGCTCCTTTTGAAGAACAGCAAAACAACAAGTTAAGTTATGTGCATTTCACTTATAGTGAAAGTGAATACAGAGAACTATGAAACAAAATTAACAATACAAAGCCACCATGAACTTCGTATAAATCAAAACATTTTTAATGCTGAAAGTACTAAAAAATTTAAGTACATCCGTTAAATACGTGTACTGTTGTGCTAATCTAAAGCGTTTTTTTCTAACCGCTTTAACTGCTTTATGCCTTTCCAACAGCTTTATCTCTTCATCATTGTCTCTGCGGATTCATTGTTAGTATTTCACAGTTATAATCAGTATGGTGCATCCACATTGGATCAACACACTTAATAGTTATCTATTTTTATTTGGTTATTTCTTTGCGTTCTCATGCAGTATGATAGTCCAGCTGTTGTCCCATTTTATAGAAATATGTCTGATTTTTGAGGTACAAGTTTTTTTGCCTAAACGGGAGCGCTGTAAATCCACATCTTCACTTTAAAACACTCCAGTATGCTTAATAGGGTATGATACCACTCGATGTTCCATATTCTATTACTTAGTGCTAGTAGTTAATAGTTTCTAGATGAATTTAATACTTTTACCTTCAGGTTCCTGGTTTCACATCCATTTTGTTATGCCCTTTGTCACCTATGTTTATGCCATTCGCTAACGCATTGTACGTTCGGAAAGTTACCTTCCCTGAAGAGCATTTTTACGCTGAAGCCAAATCAGTTAAATGTTGAACCGAAGCATTAGAACGGTATTAGTATTATTTACTTGTCGGAGGATGGGTATCCTAGCTACCACTTCCGTGCCCTCTGTAAGCCTGTGCACAAAGTGCTGTGCACAAAGACACGCTGTGCACAAAGACTTCCTGACGGTACGACAAAGCTCTCGGTGTAATAATTTTATGCGGGTAATAAAACTTTACCCACGTTTCTCGTTATACGATCAAATCTAAAATATACGGTCCTCAAGATTTTGCTTCTAATGATTGCTTATGTTAATGCCGATGATTGTTTCCCTTCGCTAGTTTTGTTGTGTGAGCCAAGCGGTCTCATTTGCATGCTAGCGACTCTCGCTTGTTTTTGGTGCTAGTAGGCATTCAGCTGACTTGTTAAATTCAGATCAGACTGTATTATACTTGTTACTGGTAGTTGATATGACAAGTTCTAGCAGATTTCACCAGAACATCGCAACATTGGTCATAATCCTTTGAGGGATAGATCGTCGAAAGTACTTCTAATTTTTTATCTTTTCGAGGTAATAAATGAGCATACTATGTCAGAAGCCACTTCGAAAGTAGATTATGCGTGTTACATTAAAATATTAATATCTTACTATGGCGTTTTGACAGAGATGAGTGCCGTATCATTAGCTACACGTAAGCGCCCTTAAACACAGCATGCCCGCAAATTCCAGTGCTTTCCTTTCTTTGTTGAATAAATGTATGATTCGTTGCGTCTTTCGCGATTGTAAAAATGCTTTTATTCGAGTACTTCCTTCTTCCCTGCATGAGTTATTGCGTCTAGGCTGGAAACCTGTAGTGTAGATAGCATTGTGATATTTTTCAAGGTTTTATCATATATGTTATTAATCTTTTCAAAAATATGAGACCGTGGCTCAATTTCTTGAATTAATTTCTAGAATTTATGGGACGCAGCAACACTCCAGACTCTCTCGACCGCGTTCTTTGGATTTTCAAGGATTTTTGGAACTCACAGTTGTCCAGCCTTGACTGCAGTGGTAATTTGGCTGATCCTCGATTTGTTTGTTATGTTGTAATATTCTTCATTTTAGACAAATTTCATGGCATCATCTCACAATTGTTCGACAATTTGCAGTGTTTTCCAGAAAACTTCCAACACATTTCGATTGAATCCATAAGCCTGTTGGATATTTATGTAATTTTTTTGCAGTACTTCAGTTTATGAAATGGAACATTTTTGTAAATGATTTGCCACCCTATTTTGTTTATTTGTTAGGTTTTTTTGAATCGCTGCGTATTCGAATGGCCGAAGACGGCGGAGGTCTCCAAATTATCATACTTGCCGGGCGACGTTTTGTCGAACAAGTGGGAGCGTGAGTGGTATATGGCGGTGCTGAAACTTTCTAGAGATATTGCCAGGTATGATGTTAATGTTTTGCTTTTTTGTTTAAGATCGATAGGAATCTTGCGCACATTTCTTGTTCCACAGAATAGTAATCATGCGATAGCTACGGATTTGTTTTTTGATCTTGTTGAAAAGCGATAAAAGTTAATCTGCAGAGGCTGCTGACCACAATTCAGGAACGCCGGCTTTCATATAGCTTTTACCATCAATCATATGTCTGTCATCCGCCAGCTGACGGAGGAGTACACCGAATATGAAGTGCTCAGTATATTTTGCTTTCATTGACTACAAGAAAGCATTCGTCGATTGTGCAGAAGTAATCGCTGTGCTAAACGTATTGGGTGAATATGGCATGAACCCTCTGACTGCGTCAGTCTGATCGAGAAAATGAACACCAGTTGCATGTCTGGCATGAAGTTGTTCAGCAAATAATGTCGTGTCTTTATCCATTGAGTACTACGCCATGGAAATAGCGTCTTACTAGCTCTTTTCGTCGCAGCCATTGAGGACATGTCAAGCAACTAAATTTGTGCAAAGGCATCAGTATTGATGGAGAGCGGCTAAAAGATTTGCTATTTCTCGATGACTACATCACCTTCTTACGAGTCGCGATCGGGGTCCAACAGGAGACCTAGCAGATGAAAAACTAGATGAAAAAGGAATAGCTCACCTCGTTTTGGAGGTTATTCTCTCAAAGAAGAAATGAATACAAAACGAGCACTGTCTCGATGGCTCTGTGTACTCGAATGGCGAAGAACTCGAAAAAGCCATTATCTAAACGTCCCTTGGCCTCCAGGAAGTCCGCATGAGCTCTCTACACATGGAAAACAGCCGAAAAAGGAAGGCGGCATGAATCAGTTTTAGCGATGTTAAAACATCATCATTTAACAGTGACCGGAACGTTAAAACGAAAAAAGAACTACTCGATTCAATTTTCTTACCCGTCATGATCGTCGGCGATGAATATTGGTCTGCTAATAAAGCCGAAGAGAACAAACTGATGATTATGCAAAGAGCAGTGAAACGAAAAAATGTGCAGCGTGCCCTTGCTTCATGTTCCAAACTCACATATTCATCAACGGGCTGGATTAACAGACACGATTTCTGCCTTGTGTTACGTCAAGGGAAGGTGGGTTGCTCATGTCGGATCGACTAAGGGACATGGGATGATTCGATGATAAACTTGTTTCGTTAGCGGAAAATCGAGTTTTGGAGAAATGTCTACTTGAGGTAATGGCGCGCCCGTAGCAAGGTCAAATCAGGTAGCGAAACAACATCTAATCTGTTGTTTTCAAAGATTTTTTGTTACTTCTTCAGCGACCAAGAGATCTGTAGTTATTGAGCTTTACTTTTCGGATCATTCCTTCAAGCTGTCACAGTCTGAAAGCCTGTTTTTTTGTTTGACAGTGTTTAACTTCTAATTGTAGGATCGTGCGTACCTATGAAATCCATCCACCTTTAGACGGAAATTCATTC